CAAGTGATCGTTCATACGATGAAAGTGCTTTTGAGTACTCGCCCATGTTATGATAGACCATACCGATGTTGTTGTAGGAAGAAGCCAAGTCGGGATGATTCGGAGGGAGAGCTATTTTCTGCATTTCAAGTGATCGTTCATACGATGAAAGTGCTTTCGAGTACTCGCTCATGTTAAAATACACATTACCGATGTTGTTGTAGGAACCAGCCAAGTCGGGATGATTCGGAGGGAGAGCTATTTTCCAAATTTCAAGTGATCGCTCATACGATGAAAGTGCTTTCGAGTACTCGCCCATGTTACCATACACCATACCGATGTTGTTGTAGGAAGAAGCCAAGTCGGGATGATTCGGAGGGAGAGCTATTTTCTGGATTTCAAGTGATCGTTCATACGATGAAAGTGCTTTCGAGTACTCGCCCATGTTACCATACACATTACCGATGTTGTTGTAAGAAGTAGCCAAGTCGGGATGATTCGGAGGGAGAATTTTCTGTTTGATCTCCAGATCTTTTTCGTGATATGAAAATGCTTTCGAGTACTCGCCTGTGCTGTTATACACCGTACCAAGCTGAAGATTATAATCTGATCGCTCTTTATCAGTAGATGCCTTTTCGAGAAGTATCTTACACAGATGTTCTGCTTTTCCAGACTCTCCGAGACTAATGAGTATATCACCGAACCGAGCCCATCCTGTTACCCAAGTGAACTCTTCACGCAGATGTGCTGTAAGTGTGTTCAATTCGTGATTGTCATTACCGACAATAGTGAGATTAACTTCGTATAGCCGATCACAGTGATTATCGTGAATTCGTTCAATGCGATCGATACGAAAAATCGCATGTGTTGAAAAGAGTATTTCTTCCTCTTTATCTTTGTAGTAACCAACTTTGCTTACTTCAGCAAATGATGTCGATGATTTTGTACAAATAGCCGTGTCAATGTTCATAATAAAGAGGATGCCAACTGAATTTGTATTTAATGCTGCTGGTTGTGCAAAGTTGAAAGATATCTCACGATTACGACTTGTCGACAGAAAATTATTGAAGGACATAAGTCCTCCTTTGGTTTTTTTCATTTTTTCAAAATCTTCCATGGACAAACCTTGTCCACGGAAGACTTGAAATTTTGTTGGCATGTTTCCTTGTTGTTCATAATGTAATTTTGTAATATGTTGATGTAAATGACGTATGAAGAAGCCCATTTTCAGGATAATATCGACATCCATTTGTCGAAGACCATAATTGAGCATTGAGTAAATAAAATATGGACCTGTGTACCACCAAATGGGTGAATGATTACGATATTCTTCTTCAATCTTTTCAAGTGTTTTTTCGGAAGCATCGCTTTGAAGACGACAGTATTCAACGAGTTCCTTAATCGATTTTGCATCGTCATCTTCTATTTGCAAAAGTGCTTCTTTTAACAATTGTGTATACATAAATAATGGATCGATTCTATTAAAACTTATCGAGATCATAGCTCGATCACAATTTTCTTGATAGATTTGTAATGCTTTACAAATCGGTTCGATTTGTGTGTATATACCTTTTACCTTAGGTATTGTTTTGGTCCATTCCTCATGAATCAATTGATTGTCACATAAAATATAAATTGAGACTAACTGTGGGCATTGTTGAATTATCGGTATTATATGTTGTGCCAGGGCACCTGATACGATCATAAATACTTTTTCGTTCTCAATGTCAGTGAGAAAATCAATGGATTCATCAACGTCTGTAAACACTGCGACCGTTGCCACTATATGTTGCAGGTGCTTCATTGGTTTTTCATAATCGTCTTTGGACTCATCAAAATTGGCATCGAGCCATACCAAAAGGAAATTTTGAAGAATTCGACGAGCAGTTTGAGGAAGTACTGCATTTCTGCTTGTCGTTGCTGTTGGTAGTGATGCTGCTGCTGTTGTTGATGATGATTTCTTTGGTTTATTTATTGTGGAAGGAGAAGATGATCCACTAGCAGTTGATGTTGATTTCTTTTTGTCCATTTCGATGATAATTGTATTCTTTATTAACGGGCGAAAATAAGTGAATAAAAATGTAAAAGCTAGTTGACGATAGTGATACGAAGACAAATATACTTCATCCTACTATCTCTCTCTATATATATAGATATTGTTGTTTGTTTCTTCCTTTTGTTGGTAATTTTTGTAGCCACTTGTTTTAAGAGTGAGCGCGTTTCGTTGATTGCATGAAAGACTTCTTATCTTTTCTCTGTTCCAAGAGTGTTTACGAACTTTCTGTGTGTCAAGCAAGCAAGAGATAACAAAATGAAAATAAAATGCATTGTCATTCAAAGCAAAGAAAACGAAATATGATAAAAACAATTTGTTCATGTTGTTCTCATTGTTGTTGAAGCCATAAAAGGTTCTCCCCACACAGTCAGTAGATATTATGTGGTGAGTGTGGGCTGTGGGTGAGTAGCATGACGATGACTGTGGCAAAGAGTGTGACTCTAGATGGAAGGATGTCAATAAATGAAGTACTTCGATCCACACTCACTTCCACACCCACACCAGCGCAAAATAATGGCTTTAGACTCACTTTTAGTATTTACAAGATCATAACATATCCCTGTTGAACGTGTAGCAAAGACTATATTTTAGTTATAAGAATTTTGGTTGATGATAAGGTTTTCATGAATAAAAATTAAACAACATGGATAAACTAAATAAATCACTTGAATTTTTAAAATTACTTTCAACAACATCATCAAAAACATTAATAATCAAGTAAATAATTGGATCTTTTTCTGTTTTTCATTTTGTTTATATCTCTTATAGAATGTTCTTCTCATTTAGAGGTAACAATGAAAATTATTTTAAATTAGTTAAAGCTAGTGTGGAAACATTATTTACAACATGTGATGAAAATGATTATAATGTACGATTGACTGCCGAAGAAAGTCTTAATAAATTTGTTCAAGTATTATAAAAGAAATTCTTTTTTTTGTATAATTTTGTATGAATTATAAAATAGAATTTAAAAGAAGCAGATTTAACAAGAATTCAAGTTGAATTATATCGAATTATAAAACATAATCCTAATGTTGAACCAAATGCTTTAAAAGGTTATTTTTATTATTTGACTTAAATTTATAATAAGGATTCTTTTTTAATTTCGATTAGGTGTTCTGTGGTGATTTGCTGAATTAGCAAATGTAATACATTCAAAAAAGATTCAACCATTTTATCAGAATATTATGAACTTATTTTTCGTAGTCTTGGTCGACCGATTAATGATAAAGAAATTAAAGTAAATAAAACAAAAATCTTTGTCATCTAAGACAAATTTTTTAAAGAAGTAATCAGAAAAATGTCATACGGTTGAATAGAAACATAGAAAAGAATTGCCCTACCATGTTTCGGTTAAAACTTCTAGCATGAGAGGATGTTTTTCAGAAAATGTAGAATAGGTAGTCTGATACTATTTGACGAAATACGAACTGAGAAACTGTCTATCATTTGAAGCGATCTGCCCTCGAAAGTAATCGAGCGTAGAGTTTCATGCAACTTAAGAATGGTTTAGTCATAGGAGTTCACTGGCTATCGTGATAGTTAAAGTATGAAGTCGAGTGAAAAGGAATTTTTCTTTTCCTAATATTAACAATACATAATTTTCTTTTGAAATATATAATCAATGACTAAACTATTCTTAGAAACTTCTCATAGCCTATTCAGCAAATATGTTATCCTATTGTTATAGCACGTTTTCTAATGGCAAATGTAATTGGTAAGTTTTCTTTCAAATAATAATTTCAATCCATGATAATTGTCTTTTATTTTAATAGATCAATTACTTGAACATCAAAATCAAAATGCTAGTACACGTTTAATAATTGATTATCTTGATTTAATAAAAAAAATTATTCAATTACTTCATTTTCAAATTTATTTGATTTTGATCAACTATTAATTTCAATTCAAATTGGATCTATAGAAAAAAACTTGTGTTAGTCAAGCATTACAAACAGGTAAATATTGAGAAAAAAAAGGAATTTTTTTTATTTGTGTTTTTTTTTTTCTAAAACAATAGCTTATTCAACATATCAACGTTGATTTATTGAAATGAATGATGAATTCGATTCGCCATCAATGATTAATAATGAAAAACGAACATCAGCTGCTAAACTTGTTCATCAATTATATTTTTTTTCCGATTAGATATATATTCAATATGGATGGTACGATAAAAAGTGATGATGAATCATGTATTAGTGTTAAATGTGCTATACCAATATGTCTATCGTATTTATCAACAATTTGGTCGATTTGATTACCTTATTGAAAGTATGTTTAATGCTTGTTTGAGGCTTCTTTTTGTAAAGTTTCAGTTCAGTGAAATAGATTTTTTTTATAATGCAAAATTATTTCTAATATCGTAACAGTAGGAGGGCCTAGGTGAAGGGGATTGTGACAGAGTGTAGTTGACGTGGCTTCAATTGGTTAAGGTCTCAAAGTTTTAGTGAAAGTTATCTGATAGATATGACAATTTCACTATTAAATTGTTGAAACATATATATATATATTGGAATCTGAAAATTCAAGAACGGAGATTTCTCAATATTGATTCAGCAGCTCTAGTCCTATTCCTACTTTTAATTTTTTTGAAACCAACAAAAGACTAGAACATTATCAGACTCGAGAAGATACTAAGTAGAACACTTTATTGAAGCTCAAAGCCTGCATTTATACATCAGAGATTGAAATTATATAATCACATAACTACCTCAAAAAAAGTTCTAAGCCGAAGTTCGAGATATGAAATCAATTGTATCCTCTAAGAAGTTTTTCTTTAGTTTTTGAAGATTTCTGATTAAATAAAAATTTTGTAACTGATATGAAATTTCCTAATGAGAAAAATGAAATTCTCATCTCTATATGATGTGAAATACATTAAAATTTATGGAACATCAAGGTATCTTTTTTTTTCTTTTCTTTAAGATATTACATATCTTTTATCTTTATGTGAACACGGTGATCTACATTTACGTGGTGCATGTACAAATTTACTTGTTACATTAATTCAAACAACAATTCATCTTTTAACACTATCATCATTATCAAATTCATTTAATAATTCTTTTTTTAATCAATGTTCACTTGTATCAACTAATTCACAAGACAGTTCAAGGTTATATGTCTTAATGATAATAATGCACGTGTTATACATGTTTCATTAAATGCTTTACGAACATTATTACCTTTAATAGTCATGCATTTACAATCATAGAAATTGAATTATTGAAAGATTCTATTCAACATACTACAAGTTCCTATGTTCTTGCTAAAGCAGATAAAAGAAATTTATAATTATGATAATTTTGTTTTGTGTGTATATAATATAGTTTGCGCTAGCTCAACTTATAGATGATATTGATTTTCGAATATTAACTTATCTTGAACAACAACAATTAAAACAACAGTATCGTGATATACGTGTTCGTCAAGCAACTGCTTCGACTTTTGCTAAGTATGTATTTTGTAAAGATAATAATTACATAGCTTTTTTCGAATTTGGATGAATAAGTCGATTTTATTGCATTAAGTTAGTTATTAGCTACTTTTTGATTTTAAGGTTTTGTTGATCACAATTCATTTTTACCATGTCAATGGATATATAAAATTCATCATTCATTACAAGCTTAAGCATCAACTCGAATACAAATTGTTTGTCATTTTTGTCTTTTATATAGGTTGGATGTTTAGAAGATATTTATGTTCTTTCAAATGTTTTAAGACCAACAACAATTCGACCAATTTTTTCATAATCAATATGATGAACTTCGTTTATTTATAATTTTTTTTAAACATCCCTTTATATTACATGATCTTAATAATTTAATCTTTTCAAGTAAAGAGAAAGAAAAAGATATTTATTATGTTTTTTTTGAATTCTTTTTTTTTATTTGAAGATTTATCAAATCTCAACAAATGAAAAAATGTTTTGAAAGTAGCACAAATGATTCAAGTAATTCGAAAAATTGAACTATTTTATCATCATTCTTTTGAACAGAATATAGTTGATATTTCAGTTTTCACAGAAGAAAGGAGTTCCAAAGTGTTAGATTTGAAGAATATATTTGATCATGTTTCGTCTGAATGAATTCATTTGTTTTTTTCTTTTTAAATAGAATGAAAAAGATTCATCAACAACATCAAACACAGACAAAGTTAAAAAAATTAATCATACACAATTAGGTACTTTTGGAAATTATTCGAATTAATATGTTCATCATATCAAATGCATAAAAGTTTATTAAATTCATCAGAAATGATCATTATTGTCTATGAAATCAGTTCTAAGTCCTATTTCTACACAAGATTTATCAAAAAAATTTGGAAGAGAAACACTTAAGAGAGTATGCATGGGAATATCGAGCATCCGCCAAATAGGCCATAACATGATTTTTCCTAACACCCGCTTTTTTTTATTTCATTCGA